CCCTAAACCCTAAACCCTATCTTATGGCAACTCGGGGACCTGAGCCCCTGAGGTCCTCGAGCCCCACCTCTAGGACCCCTACACAGTGGATGCAGAACTATGCTAGCACTAACACTTATAGAACAGCAGCCAGGAAGCTTTGTATCGGGGGTCTTGCAGCGAGAGGCGGCCATTAGTACTGAAGATGAACATCTCCACACATCGTGGGTAGTAGTTGTGATCGTACTTAGAATGCCCATACTACGAGCAGCAGTCTTCTTGGAAACAGGTCATAGTTCCGTTGACAGGAGCAGTACTCATGCGAATGCTGAGTAGCTGAGGAGGAAGCTTGCTAGCGACGAGGATCTCGGCTCCTTGGAGACAAATAAGGGTTCGTACGAAGCGATAGAGTCTACATTGGGCTTTACGATGTTCCAGAGGCTCTGGAAGGTATTGGCAGGGCTGTATGAAGGGCGTATCATGTGTAGGGTCAGGATCACTAGGCTGGTAAGGCGCTGGTCAAGAGTCAAGCGTTTCCAGTATGTGCCGAATAAACGCAGAATCAGTAGTCCTCAGTAGTCGTCGCCGTCGGGGTAGCTGCACCTGAAGTTGCTCAAACCTCGAAGCCGACATCCTAAACCCTAAACCCTCAACCCTAATCCCTAAACCCTAATCCCTAAACCCTAAACTTTGCACCCTTATAAACCCTAAACCCTAAACCTCTCACCACTAGGCGGCACCCTGAGCCTTGACGATTTCGGCGCGATGGTTGGGGACCGCCTCAGCGAGGACCAGGGCATTCCGGGTCTATTGGGTTTATAGGGGTAGTTCTCGAAAATTAGGGTCCCTGTTAAAGGGTCCTTTTTAAACGGGTGCCCTACTACTATATTACCACCTTTCTGGGCGAAGAGGATGAGAAAGCCGAGTAGGGAAGGTTCTTGGAAGCCAATCGAGCGTGTCTCTACGACGCCGGTGGAAATGGCACTGCTCCATCGCATCGTGGATTTCTTCTGAGGAGAGTGAAGAAGTCGTCATGATCACCATCAGTATTCTCATCATCATCATCATCACCATCATAATCGTTATTATCGTCATCATCATCATCATCATCATTGTCATCAATATGAAATTATGTCATCATCATCACCGTCATGGTAAACGTTATCGTCATCCTCGCCATCGCTAGGGTCAAACTTGAATGCCAAACCCGAAGCAACAAAACTCCTAACCCCGAACACAATTCCCGGAAGCCGAACGCAACGGTGCAGAGGAAGAGGTCCAGACGATCTTCAACCAGCTATCTGGCGGAGCGGGAGAGGCTTCGGTGGATGCGGCTGAGCAGCATTGGCGAAGCTTGCAAGTTAGAGGGCTTAGGGGTTTATGGGTATCAGGAGGGAACCGCCTGACCCGACGCCCCGTGCTTGCATCGCCAAGGCTCATGAAAGCTATGTTCCCGACTTAGGCCCTTTAGTATCAATTTACCAGGGCTGGTGATCTCTAGAATACGAAGGCTAGGGACCGCCCAAAGTGCCGTCGCTTAGAGCAGCCTTGAATCAGTGTTTGTCTTCCCGGAATACTTATCTTCGAGCTTGAGGCTGTCCAGATTCGTTTGAACTGCATGTAGGGCTATACCCTTTTGCCCTAAACCCCCAACCGTAAGCCGTAAACCCTCAACCCTAAATCCTAAACCCTTAAGGCGTTGCGTTGAAGATAGGCCTCAAAGGCTACAATCCGACGCCGCTCTGAAAGGCCTCGGGCCCAACAGCCCCAAGCCCGAAACCTCAATCTAGGAGTTTAGGGTTAAGGTTTAGGGGTTAGGGTTTAGGGTTCAGGGGACAGTGCGCCAAGGCCTTGCTGAACCTCACATCAGATGAGAGGAGCGGCTCCGACGCACGAGCCGGGACAAGGGTCTGTAAGTAAGGCAAAGGCTGGTAGGGTTTAGTTTGTGTTAGGCTTTCGGGTTTAGGTTTCGTTTGTTGTTTTCGTCTGTTCTGGTAAGGTTCTGTGGGGTCTGGAGGTCTTTCGGGTTCCAGGCTTTTGATGGGTTAAGAACAGTTAGGACAGTTACACCCCATGAGGCCCCACAGCCGCGGAGCTCCTGAAACAGGAACGGAACTTTGTGCCATTTAGGGTTTAAGTTTAGGGTTTAGGGTTTGTGGGTCCCGATCCGCAATTCCTGAAACCCTTACCCTCCGAGCCCCAAGCCCCGAAACCCAGCACCGCAACGCGATACTTTGCAGGCCCTGATGGCCTAGGCGTAACGTGATGGGTTTTGGAACTAAGGGTGCAGGGTTTCGGATCTAGATCCGAGGGGTCTGGGGGGTTTCAGTTCTGGGGTCGAGGCCGCACTCGACTCCTCCGAAACGGCAAGGTATTCTGGCGACCGACTTCCTGCAACGCTTCGAGATGCTCGAGACTCTGAAGTACCCCGTGCTGGTCTCGAACATCCAAAGGACCAGCGCTCCCCAAACCCTATACCCCAAACCCTGAACCCTAAACCCTGAACCCTACACTGCTATTGGTGTTTTCAGCTCACGGCCATCCTTGGGCGAGTGTCCCTCCGAGGCTTTGTTAGGGACCCCGATTCTGCTCCGGTTATGTGAGTTGCATTTGTGATGCTTGGGTTCTCAGGGCTAGAGCCTAGGGCTTAAAGTTAGGCTACTAGTAGCCTATCTTCGCTGCAGGCTTTGGTGTGAGGACCTGTAAGTTTTAGACCACTGTCCTTGAATGAGATATACTCATGCTTCAGCTCAAAGATCCAGGATGAGATCCAAATCCTGCTCGCGCACCTGCTAGCCGTGAGCAAAAGCTTCCCAAATCAGCTCCTAGGGCCCCAGAAGCCCAGGGCTTCAGCGCACAAGGCCTCAAGAGCCTCTCTGAGGTCGAATCCCATGTCAGGCCGGAGTTCCCCTAAACCTCACGCTAGGGTGCTTACAGTGGGCCACTATGGGTAAACTGACGGGGCAAAAGAGGTTCGGAACTTCTTTCCCTGGCGTTTCTTCGGGCTTGGGGCTTGGGTTAGGTCTTGCTAGAGTTTATCCCAGTAGCAGCCGGAGGCAGCAGACACGAACTTAGGCCAATCATCGGGAAGGTGCAGGGTCTCGGCATTGCCCAGGACCCACCAGTTGGTCCGTTACTTGAGCCGGTACACGAACCAGAACGTCATCATCGCGGCTGCGCTGCTGCAAGCGCTGGCCGTTTGGGGCTTCACAGGATTTTGGGGGGAAGTGTCTCTTTTGCTCTGGCGATCCATAACGGGCTCTGAGTCCCAACTAAGGCTCCCACTGCAGGCATGATATAGGGCTGCTCTCATGGCTTCGAGCCCAGCCATGTAGCCTGGTAGTAAAGCCTGAACCTGTTAGCCCTGAGCCCCAGGCTCCAACTTTCCAGCGAATCTCTCGGGGCAAGCGTAGCTCTCGAGGCTTGTGCATGCAGAACCAAACCCTGGAGAGCCGTTTGCTCTAGCATCCAGCGCCCTCCTGTTTATGGACAAACTCTGGCGGCATCCATGACAAGGACATACCATAACGCGCATAGTTTAGGATACTTACGGCAATGCTGTGTAATGCTGCGGTTTGTCCATCATCAGTACCATCGGAACCCGAAAACCTCAACACCAAAACCTAAGACGCACGCCCGAACCCTTGGAACCGGGACATACATGAGAACTCTTTAGATCCCTTGTGAAGCCTTACTAACCCTTAAAGTCCCAAGATCCTTCGAGGTTGGTGGAGGCGGCTACTCGCTGAAGCGGGCCCTCTTCAACCCGGAGAGCTACGCCAACTCCGAGGCACTCCCTGGCATTTTTTGAGGGTACGAAACTTTAGGGTTTGGGGTTTTTCGGGTTTAGATTCCTAATTTGCGACCCAAGACACAAAGTCCGAAACCCAAAGCCGCAGTGACAAAAGGTCCTCCAATCGGGTCATAGTGTAAAGTGCCCTGATGGTCGTGTGAGAAGCACACGTGGGAGTGATCACGAGCAAGGTCGAACAAGAGCTTGCAACATCTAGGAAAACCCAAATCCCATAGTCATGAACCACACAATCAGGACTGCGCGGAGCGTTCGGATTCGAACAACTGCCCCTTTAAACCCCCCGAGAAATCTTGAGTCAATGCATGCCGAAACGCTTGCCTGACATTGAACCCCAAACCCTAAACTCCACAACCTAGACCCCAACCCCCTCAAACCCCTCCTCGCCCCGCCCTCCCCCCCAAAACCCCACACACCCTACCAACCCCAAACCCTAAGTCCTAAGCCTTAAACCCCAAACCCTCAACCCCTAAACCCTAAACCCCTAAACCCTAAACCCTAAACCCTGAACCCAAAAGGGTGGGATGCTGGCGGCCTTCGGAAGCCTCTTCCAGAACGGATGCTCTGCTGCATTTCTGGGTTCTACATGGCTTTCATGCGGGGTTTAAGGGTTTAGGGTTTAGGGTTTAGGGGTTAGGAGGACTTTGCGGGGGTTTGATACGGCTGTATAAGGTTTCTTTCAGGGGCTTTACAAGGTTCTAAGGGATAAGTTTTGGGTTTTTAGGGTAGAGCGTTTAGGGTTTCTTAGTATTATCATCCGGATCAGTGTTCGTTTTCGTATTCATTACGACTAGTACCATGATTAGCACGAATGAGTTGAACATGCAACAATCAAAGCTTGGGTGTGAGTGTGGCGATATGCACGGCCTTCTAGCCAGCGTTAGTCCGCGCGCCAAGGGAAGACGAGGATCTTCACGTACCCGAGCGTCGATGACGGAGGCAACGTGACCCCTGCATCAGTGCCGTCCGATGACGAGCAGAAGCTCTACGAGTACTTGGAGTCGAAAGGCTCGTCCATTTTTTGTGCCCGCCGTTTCGTGGGGTGTTTGTAGTTTTGTAATCAGGTTTGTGGAAGTTTGGGGCTAAGGGCTTGGGATGTTTGGGGTTTCAGGACAGGCATACTGTAAGGCTGTAAGGGTTTTGCGATAAATGACATCTCCAAGTTCGGGTTTTTTGGATGCTGGGTTTGGGCTGTGGGGTGTGGACAGCCTGACCCCTATCTGCACCAACAGGGGTGTGGAAGTTAGTTCAGGGAGCTGCATTTACGCTACCATAATAGAGACATGTTGAAAGCCATAAGCCTTCCTTCTTCTTGTTATTATCACTACAGTACAGCATCTTAAGCTAGCGTCGAAGCCCGGAAGCAGGGTCGGGATGAGAATTGAAGATGCAGGGTGGCAAGCGTGGTTTTGATTTGGGACGGAGCGTCAGGACCCAGTGGAGGTCTAAAGTCTAAAGCTCTAGTGCGAGGACCTTGGAGTCCGTGGTTCAAGGCGTTACTGCTCAAAGCAAACAGGGTTTAGGCTTTTCGCGGTTTGGGTTTGAGGGCGTCAGGGTTTAGGGATTTCAGGGTTTGGTTGGAGTGGTGACATTTTTATTTTTATTTTTTTGGGGGGGGTGGGGAAACCGAAAGCCGAAGCCGTGCAGCCTGTGCCGCAGGCTTCTCGACCGGATTCTCTCGATTTAGGGATTAGGGATTCCAGATCTGCTCAGGAATGGAGAGGTGGGGGTGGAGGGAGCCTTTCTTCGGGAACCCTAAACCCTAAACGGCCCTAAACCGTAAACCCTAAACCCTGAACCGTAAAACCCTAAACCCTAAACCGTAAAACCCCCGAAAAAAAGGAACACAGAGGAATTGAGCCTTGCCGTTGCAGGCTACATCCAGCCGCTCACCTCCGCCTACCTCAGTCCCGAGGTGGGCTTGTGCGGAGAGGTAGCCGTTCCAATTATATAATATAACATATTATACTAGACTATACTATAGTATAATATAATATACTATACTATAATCTAATTGTGTGTTATGTTATGTTATGTTATGTTATGTTATGTTATGTTATGTTTTGTTATATGGTATTATATCATATTATGTTATATCATATTTTGTCCTATTCTATTCTATTCTATTCTATTCTATTCTATTCTATTATGTTAGATTATATTCTACTAATACTATATAAACCCTGAGCTCGCCAAGCACGGGCCCATTCCCAGTGCCCTGAGCCCGAAAGCCCACGAACCAACCTCGATGTTCCACAGACGATAAATGACACTCTGATAGGCAAGCTCCAGGCTTTCCTCACTGAAGGTATCGGAGGTGAGGCTACAAGGCAGCACTTCGATGTTCAATGCACGCCTGAGCTTCCGTGCATGTCAATCCTCCAGGCCACCCTAAGCTCGAGTGTAGCCCTTCTTTACCTGTACCTCCGAACCGATACCCTGAAGGCACCAAGCCCCAAATTAAGCCTGAATCCTTAAAACATCCCAAGTAATTTGGGACGACGGGCTAAATCCACTTGTAACTCCAAACCCTAAACCTCGAAGAATCCTTCAGGAAACCCGACTAGACCCTCCAACGCCCCTTGTGCCTCCGAACCCCAAACCCCAAACCCCAAACCCTAAACTCTAAACCTCAAAACCCTAAACCCTAAACCGCAAACCCCAAACCCTAAACCCCAAACCCTAAACTCTAAACCTCAAAACCCAAACCCTAAACCCTAAACCCCAAACCCTAAACCCCAAACCCCAAACCCCAAACCCTAAACCCCAAACCCTAAACCCTAAACCCTATATCGCGCTGG